GTTTCTTTCTATCTCTTTTAGTTTTTGATTTATAACCTGTTATGTTGTTAGAAACGTGAAATTACAGACTTTTCAAGTTTGGGTTGGGTTGGATTGGCGAAAACACTAAATGGGTTATAATAGTGATTTGTAACTGTTTTCTGGGTTGATAAGGAATGCTTTTGATTCAAAAAGTTTCTTTCTATCTTTCTTAGTTTTTGATTCATAACCTGTTATGTTGTTAGAAACGTGAAATTACAGACTTTTCAAGTTTGGGTTAGGTTGGCGAAAACACTCAATGGGTTATAATAGTGAATTGTAACTGTTTTCTGGGTTAGTACGGAATGTTTTTGATGCAAAAAGTTTCTTTCCATCTCTTTTGATTTTTGATTTATAACCTGTTATGTTGTTAAAAACGCGAAGTTACAGACTTTTCAAGTTTGGGTTGGGTTGGTGAAAACACTCAATGGGTTATAATCGTGATTTGTAGCAGTTTTCTGGGTTGATAAGGAACGTTTTTGATGCAAAAAGTTTCTTTCTATCTCTTTTAGTTTTTGATGTATAACCTGTTATGTTGTTAAAAACGCGAAGTTACAGACTTTTCAAGTTTGGGTTGGGTTGGGTTGGTGAAAACACTCAATGGGTTATAATAGTGAATTGTAACTGTGTTCTGGGTTAATACGGAATGTTTTTGATGCAAAAAGTTTCTTTCTAGCTCTTTTAGTTTTTGATGTATAACCTGTTATGTTGTTAGAAACGTGAAATTACAGACTTTTCAAGGTTGGGTTGGGTTGGGTTGGCGAAAACACTAAATGGGTTATGATCGTGAATTGTAACTGATTTCTGGGTTGATAAGGAATGTTTTTGATTCAAAAAGTTTCTTTCTATCTCTTTTAGTTTTTGATTCAAAACCTGTTATGTTGTTAGAAACGTGAAATTACAGACTTTTCAAGTTTGGGTTGGGTTGGGTTGGTGAAAACACTCAATGGGTTATAATCGTGATTTGTAGCAGTTTTCTGGGTTGATAAGGAATGTTTTTGATTCAAAAAGTTTCTTTCTATCTCTTTTAGTTTTTGATGTATAACCTGTTATGTTGTTAAAAACGCGAAGTTACAGACTTTTCAAGTTTGGGTTGGGTTGGGTTGGTGAAAACACTCAATGGGTTATAATAGTGAATTGTAACTGTGTTCTGGGTTAATACGGAATGTTTTTGATGCAAAAAGTTTCTTTCTAGCTCTTTTAGTTTTTGATGTATAACCTGTTATGTTGTTAGAAACGTGAAATTACAGACTTTTCAAGGTTGGGTTGGGTTGGGTTGGCGAAAACACTAAATGGGTTATAATCGTGAATTGTAACTGTTTTCTGGGTTGATAAGGAATGTTTTTGATTCAAAAAGTTTCTTTCTATCTCTTTTAGTTTTTGATTTATAACCTGTTATGTTGTTAGAAACGCGAAGTTACAGACTTTTCAAGTTTGGGTTGGGTTGGCGAAAACACTCAATGGGTTATAATCGTGAATTGTAACTGTTTTCTGGGTTAGTACGGAATGTTTTTGATGCAAAAAGTTTCTTTCTATCTCTTTTAGTTTTTGATGTATAACCTGTTATGTTGTTAAAAACGCGAAGTTACAGACTTTTCAAGTTTGGGTTGGGTTGGGTTGGTGAAAACACTCAATGGGTTATAATAGTGAATTGTAACTGTGTTCTGGGTTAATACGGAATGTTTTTGATGCAAAAAGTTTCTTTCTAGCTCTTTTAGTTTTTGATGTATAACCTGTTATGTTGTTAAAAACGTGAAATTACAGACTTTTCAAGTTTGGGTTGGGCTGGATTGGCGAAAACACTCAATGGGTTATAATCGTGATTTGTAACTGTTTTCTGGGTTGATAAGGAATGCTTTTGATTCAAAAAGTTTCTTTCTATCTCTTTTAGTTTTTGATTTATAACCTGTTATGTTGTTAGAAACGTGAAATTACAGACTTTTCAAGTTTGGGTTGGGCTGGATTGGCGAAAACACTCAATGGGTTATAATCGTGATTTGTAACTGTTTTCTGGGTTGATAAGGAATGCTTTTGATTCAAAAAGTTTCTTTCTATCTCTTTTAGTTTTTGATTTATAACCTGTTATGTTGTTAGAAACGTGAAATTACAGACTTTTCAAGTTTGGGTTGGGCTGGATTGGCGAAAACACTCAATGGGTTATAATCGTGATTTGTAACTGTTTTCTGGGTTGATAAGGAATGCTTTTGATTCAAAAAGTTTCTTTCTATCTCTTTTAGTTTTTGATTTATAACCTGTTATGTTGTTAGAAACGTGAAATTACAGACTTTTCAAGTTTGGGTTGGGCTGGATTGGCGAAAACACTCAATGGGTTATAATCGTGATTTGTAACTGTTTTCTGGGTTGATAAGGAATGCTTTTGATTCAAAAAGTTTCTTTCTATCTCTTTTAGTTTTTGATTTATAACCTGTTATGTTGTTAGAAACGTGAAATTACAGACTTTTCAAGTTTGGGTTGGGCTGGATTGGCGAAAACACTCAATGGGTTATAATCGTGATTTGTAACTGTTTTCTGGGTTGATAAGGAATGCTTTTGATTCAAAAAGTTTCTTTCTATCTCTTTTAGTTTTTGATTTATAACCTGTTATGTTGTTAGAAACGTGAAATTACAGACTTTTCAAGTTTGGGTTGGGCTGGATTGGCGAAAACACTCAATGGGTTATAATCGTGATTTGTAACTGTTTTCTGGGTTGATAAGGAATGTTTTTGATTCAAAAAGTTTCTTTCTATCTCTTTTAGTTTTTGATTCATAACCTGTTATGTTGTTAGAAACGTGAAATTACAGACTTTTCAAGTTTGGGTTGGGCTGGATTGGCGAAAACACTGAATGGGTTATAATCGTGATTTGTAACTGTTTTCTGGGTTGATAAAGAATGCTTTTGATTCAAAAAGTTTCTTTCTATCTCTTTTAGTTTTTGATTCATAACGTTGATAATCAGTGGCGGATCCGGGGGTGGGGGGTTGGGGGTTGAACCCCCCCCCCTCGGTTTACACTCAGAAAAATTCATCATAAAAATCTAATCGTTTTTTTCATAACCCCCCCCCAAAACTTTTTTCTGGATCCGCCCCTGAGTTCTTGTACCAGATGTTGATAAATCGAAACATGAAACATTATAGGTACCATCTTGCATAAAACTATTAGAACGATTTACCAAATTGTTCAACACTTTATTCAGAAGGCACCCTAGAAATCAAGGATGTAAAAAAGATCCAAAAATAACGTCATTCAAATATTGACTTCCATTTTCTTTGCACTGCTCAAGTTTATTAGTAAAGTTAGTAATCGTTCTTTCCAAAGTTTAGTGTAGGATCGCAGCTTTGATACGCTTTGGAGTTTTACTAACTGTTAAACTGGAATATTACTATTAACACCCCAAGAATAACGGATCGTTATTTTATAATTTTGAGAAGAATTTTTCTATTGTCTTGTTGGCAGTTTACAAGAATAGTGATAGCGGAACTTTTGCAAATTCAGGTCTAAATAAAAAAAGTTATAGTTATTCAATTGTTATTCGACCCAACCCAACCTATGCAAATCCAAGCCAACCCAACCCAACCCAACCCATATTTGCCTTTAAATGATTGAATGTAAAAGTTATAAGAATTGAAGTATTTTGTGGGATAACTCTATAAGTTTTTATAAGATATTTTTCATAATTCTAAAGTTTTTTAAACGAAATAATAAAAATTTGATTAACTTTAAGTAAAAAGGTATCCTAATTCGATTTCGATAACTCAACCCATTTTTGAGATATTTGCTTTTAAATGATTAAATGTAAAAGTTATTTATAAACTCACTTTTATATCAATTTTTATACCAACTTTGTATTTTTTTATTGAAATCTACGTCCTCTTTATTATCATTACTGAAAATTTCATCATATTAAACTTTAATCGCAATTTTATCCATTTTTGGGTACTTTAAATTTCACTACCAATAACTCTTTGTCTCGCCTTCACATCCAAATTGGCATTCTTTATTGGAATCTTATTTTTAGTGCAGTTCATAAAAATTTCATAACTCCAATTCAACTTTTATTATAATTTTAATTTTTCTCATCGCATAAAATCTTGAACGTTTCATGATTACAATTTATTTTTTGAATAAACTAATTCATTCTATTTGACCTCAGTTAAAAAAATGTGTATTTTTTAATTAAGGTAAAGAATGCAACATTTTTTCTTATTAGGTGGTAACGTTTCAAGTTTATTAAAGTAAAGTAAGTCACGTAGTTAATTATACAAAATATCCATCAATAAAATGTCATAGAAACTCATTTAAGTTAGAAATTCTCATCATCAAAAGTGTCCCCCAAAATAAATCCTTTCAATCTCCACTCATTAATAACCAAAAACCTTTTAATTTATTATTCATGGGATTTAACCCTTACATTAATTATTTGATGACTTTGAAAATATGTTTCTTACCTTGCTTGAACTTTACGTAATTTGATCCTGTGATGTGCAAGAAAACGGTCGTTGATTTCTTCAAGGGCAAGGTCCACTGCTGGTCCGCATCGTTCCAGATCGAATGGCGAATCCAGATGCGACGCCATAAGGACGCCAACGTTGTAATATCGATACTGATCCGTGGATTCAGTCGATAAGGTGACTGAATGATAATTTCCGTAGCATTCGGTCGATTTAAAAACGAATACCAGGAGGATTTCCAGGGGAATGCTTACGAAAGTTATTGCCATAGGACGTAACATCCTCGACGAACGACAGAAAAAATCCCTTCTGCTCGCTGACTCGGAAATGACAATTGGATAATAAAAATGTTATGAATCATGAATGAGAGGAGCGCACTAACAACCGATGGTGTGTAAAGAAAAATAAAAAAATAACGATTTTCTATAATAATTTCATTTTTATGCACTCAAAATTATTTTTTAAACTTACCTAAAAAGAGATTAAAAGTCTTAAAACTTAATCACTTTTATTAATAAATAAATTAAAGTCATTTTTTAAAAATATGTTACGAATTAAATTGTGGATTCAATTATAAAAAACAAACGAAGTGAGATGTAAACAATCGCGTGTAGCCGTGAACTTGACGTTTCGGGAGATAGACAAATGAACTCCGTAACAAGTGAGCGTCGCGACGCGTCTGAAGCAACCACCTGATGCGTCTCCAGCTTCACACAGCTTGCAAGCTCGTATCCTTTTTAGATATTTGGGTGTATGCGCACTAAAAAAAATGTAGCAAAAAATTGAAAGCTAAAAAAATTAAGAAATCATGGTAAATTTTTATTCTATCCGTACATAATATTAATTTTATATTTCCAACTCCTACTACGTGAAGGACTTCTTTTGGATCGTTTTAATCCGTTAAATCACCGCCTAATAACGAATTTCTACTATTCTTACCCTTGATAGGTGCGCTTTGGGATCGATCAGGATATGTCTCAGGAAAATGGAAGACCCTTCTGCTGAGAGGTAACGTTAAAAGTTACCCAACCGCCACCCATTCGTAAATTCCAAGGTGGTTAAGTGGATCTCAGGCCTCTGGGAATTGGTGTGAGAGATGTTCTTTGTTTGTCCAGGTTGCCCTTTCGTTTCATGATGTGTTGGTGAAAGAAACGGATTTCAAATACAAGGAGGTATTCAGTTAGAATAAACTGATTTTAAAAAGAGGAAGGTGGAAATATCTCGATAGAAGAGTCTTGGTACAATGCGAATAATTTTCGAGGGTGTTATAGTGCTCTTTCGATTATAGTCCATAAGAAACGATAAATTACTTAATGCAATTTGCATTAGAGATTTTAGCAATTTTCGTTGTAATTGATTTTGAATTGTGCTTGCATGAATCTATACGAAGTATACGAACCATTTTTGTTTTTATCATGGTCTACTCTATCTATTATACTTTTTGAGTAGTAATGGATTATTGAACGTAAACCATCCATAATAGAAATTTTGACGATTTTTGTTTTATTCCTATAAAGTGCTAACAATGCTAGAAGAAACAGAGAAGTAAAAAAATATAGTGAACAAAAATGAGATTGAGTAGGAGAGGAAATGTAAAGAAGTAAAAAAGGTGTTTGGGAGAATCAAGGAAGAAAATTATATTAAAGGAAGAAGAACGGCGAGAACGTTATAGACAACTGCTTACAGAAGGCAGACCAAAATTCAAAACTGGAATAGACGAGATACAAATAGATGCAAAGTAAAGAAAGCGCTAAAATAAATGAAAATAGTGAAGCCCCGAGGTCTGGAAACATTCCAGTTGAACTTTTAATGTACGGTTCACGTAATATATGGCAGGGTTTCTATCATAAATGCTTGATGGAGGGACAAAACATTCCAAGAGACTCGAATTGACACACATTAGTTCCATACATAAAAAGGGGAGTAGAAGGCAATACGGAAACTATAGTGAAATAAATGTTGCGAGTTCGATAGGAAGGTTGTACGGCAAATCTATAACGAAGAAATAGAAGAAGCGGTTTCCATGCAGGAAGATCATGTATAGATAACATTTTTACCTTACAAGTAAGTGAGAAGCGAATATTCCGAAACTTACTTACACATCTTGTTACATTGAACTAAAATTAGTGTCTTCGAAGTGTCACTTCGAACCAGTTTCTGAAGAAGGTTGCAACATGGCATCCGAAACCCGAAAGTTTCTAGTGTTAGTTCTAGTTTTAGTTCTAATTTTAGTTCAATTAAAACTGGCCGTGAAAGCCTTCGTACTTATATCTTGTTACATCTTACACCTTTAGAAAAATGTTTGAAATTTTGACGAAGAAAGGCATGGAAAAGATATATATATATACAGTGTGTTGTTTTGCGATATTTCTCATATCTGTCATAATAAGGGAGGGGGAGGCCAATGCGTTTTCAAATGTTTACATTTTAATACCTCCTGGACCATTCAACCGATTTGAATATTTTTGGTCTTGTTTGAAAGAGCATTTCATGCTCTTTTAAAAGATATTTTCAGTAAGACCGTTTGCTATAAAACAAATAAGTTAGAGGGCGTTATCTGCAACGATAACATATTTTTGTGATTTCTGAAGAAAAGTTAAATGGAACGATACTATTTACTTATTACTTACAGACCCTTAATCACCATAAAGTTTGCTAAATATTAGTGAAAACCGCATCTCGATATCTCCATCCATTCTCGAATTATAGAAGAAAATGTTAAAAATTCGTATATCTTAATCGGATCAAGTTACCTTAGGAAACAAATAAGAGAGCACAAAAATCTTATTACCTAGAACCTTCCTTCACACTTTATCCAAGCTTAGAACTGCTTCAAAACTACTTTTGAGGCGTGTTTAAAAGCCAACGGATCAATGAAACATCAACAATGATAATAAAACAAAATAAACCAAAACACTTAAAATTACTTAAATTTTTGGCAAAAATAGCTCACTAATGTGCGAAATGCCTTCTATAAACCTCGATGCATTTATTTAATCTAGTTTCGACGAAAACAAAAACGCTGCTTAAGTCTCGGTCCTGGACACATTTCTACTGGTATTTAGTGTTTTGTCATATTTTCCCTGGTTATTGGTTTTTCTTGAAAAGTCAGGTTGTTACAAGTTTAACTTGTAATTTAGCATAGAGTTATAGTTTTTGCTTTTCTTTAAATTTTTGGTTGAAGTTCGTCACGACATCTGTTGTTCGTTATTGATTGTTCTTTTGATAAAGATTTCTACCCTATCTTTTATTACCACCAATGATTTGGTTAGTACGCATGCGCCGATGATTTATTTTAGGCGTAATTTTAAGTTCCGCTCTCTTCTGTCGTTACACCTGTTGCTGTATAGACGTGGTTGATACTGACCCTATTGACGCCTTAGTTTCGCCACATTGTGAGTTGAACTAAAAGTGTTGTATAACTACAACTCGTGGTTCGTTGTTTTACGGATATATTAAGGCCGATTACTTATTCGATCGTTGATCGAACCGATATTTTCGGATTTGAGGGTTAACTTCACGCTTCGTCCATTACAACTCGTTGGTAAGATTTTTCTTTTCTAAAATACACAAGTCTAATATTCGTATATTTTATTCTCTAGACTTTCTGAGACAGAAGAAGGGATTACCGTGAGATTTATTCTTTATAAGGACTTTTTCTTTTTCGTTTTGAAGATCATTTCTTAATTGGTCTCTTCGTTGGATGTTCGGGTTGACCTTGAATGTCCTGTATCAAAGGTCGCTTTACATCGTAGTTCGAAGAACAATCTGGTATAATCAGCTGATGTCGCTACCCTAACCTAACTTCTTATTTGGTTTTATGCGATGGACTACATCTAATTACGAACTGGAATGAAATTGGTTTTGGATAACTGCCGAATTTAAACCACGAATATTATTTTGAGATAAGTTTTCTTAAAGTTTCTATTTTGATAATTTTCTCTTTTATTTATAATAATTAATGTAATTGAGTTAATGTTTAAGTATTTGGATAATATTCAATAATAGTATATATTCACATTAAATAACAGAGAGAGATAATCGTAACTAAATCTGTTAATCTTTGATGTTATTTTATTTATGTGTGATCTTGACTCGCAAGATTTTGGTTTGTTTTGTGGACCAATAGAGTCCTTGATTGAATTCAAAGATAGCTATCTATGTCTTACGTTCATTATCAAATAACATTCATTTTGTTTAATATCAATTTTATTGATTTCATTGATGATTTTATTTTTGCGAGAATAGAAGTAAGACTTTATTTAACCATGTTCATAACCTTTAGATTGTTTGACATCAAGTTTTAATCAACGTTTGATTTATTATTTTTTTTTTACTCTCTCTCTCTATGTGAGATTTTGTGTCTCAAAAGGAGTCACATAAATTTATTATAATTTCTTTCATTTTGTGTATTGTTATTAATTTTTTTTATTGATTTATTATATTGAATTATCACCATATTTTCTTTGTATTACTGCAGTAGTTCTCAACATAATTCTCCCCATTTTCTCCCCATTTCAANTCCAAGACACCGCTCGAAGACATTTTAAAAATACAAATCAACCCATTTACTTTTTTAAATTCGCTTTTGATGGAAATCTTAACATGTACAAAAAAATTCAAGGTAGCTTTTTAATCGAGGTAAATAACCTTATGTCCACTAAATCATATTTTATGACTAGTGCATAAAAGTTTAATGTACATGATTGTGTAGCCCAGATAATATTTAGATTAAGTTCAAAAGGTCTGTTTTGTATAAGCTTTTGTAAACTTGTAAACTTCATTCATTCATGCAAAAAATCTTTAAAATTGATTTTCTCAGCTTTTCATAAATTGGACATACGACAGTTTACCTCTATGCTACAGATGTATGTATGTAACTTCTTCTTGCGGTGTTGTTATATTTTAGTGTTTATATACCTGTTATGGACTCTTATGTCTTTTTGGGAATGAACAATAAATTTAAAAAAAAAAGCCCGAACTACAAAAGAAAAACACTTAAAGCAGGTAATCAATAGATGGCGTCAATGTAGGTAGGTCACAGACAGGCGAGAAGTAAAAAAACTCCATTGCAAAATAAAACCAAAGAGGTTTTATGCCTCAGCAAAAGGCATCTAAGGTCTCCCTCAGGATTCCTGAACGACCATGCCTTTTCAATATTGGTTAAGCTGGGGATCAAGCTTGTCGATTTTACAACGACGAGTCAGAGACTGCTAAACATATAATGTGTGAATGCGTCGCCAGAGGCCGCCTAAGGCACAACATTGTCGGTAAAGTTCGCCGACGTAAAGGAACAAAACCTTGGAACAATACTAAAGATCAAGGGCGTC